AACATCACAGATGATCCAGAGCAAGACCAGTTATAGTCGCCTCCATGCCCTATAAGCAGTTCATTTCTTTATACCTACCTACAAGTACAGATATCCAAAGAGCTGAATACCACTTCCCCAGAAATTTCAATTTACCCTGTATGGGAAGAGCCTGCTATCTCATAATTCTTCCTCTTAACCTTTTCCTTTTTTCTCTCCTATTTTCACTTTTTTTTTTCATTCTGTTCATTATTATATATTCTTAATTCTTTGTTTTCTTCTTATGATATGTATACTGTGTTCCTTTYCTGCTCTGATGAGTCAGAGATTGACTGCCACCTTTTTTCAATTAGGGTGATCCCTTTGCATTCAGCATGCTTGTTGGTGAGCTCATAAGACAGGGGCTTATATCCCTTTTTTTTAAAGAGCCACTTAAAAATGAAGATGTTAATTACATCACTTTTCATTTAAAGTTAAAAGAGCTTTTGAATTCCCTGGAGAAAGCATATATACAACTTGGAAATTGCATTATTGAGTAGAAAAATACTATGAGAAAATTGGTAATGCCTCTTAAATACCAAAATTTAATAGAGAAGTAGTCATGAAGGTAGCTTTTTGATTTTCCATCTTTTTCATTCTTGTGGCCCTTTAAGTTCCTCTGCATGTATTATTTTATCCTTAAAGTAACCTCCAGGATAGGTATTTCAAGAGGCTGAGAGAGATTAAGTGACTTTGCCAAGGTCACACAGAAAACAACTGGTACTAGAATTAGCTCAGTATTGTACCATTTCCGTGCAGCATTTACTGAATTTATCTTGTGTCATGCACTTGGCTAGGTGTAAGGTTACATTATCCTACCCCTCCCCCACCTCTAACCTAGACATCTCTTTTCCTTCTCTCCTTTGTGTGGTCTAAACAGGGTAGAGAGAAAACACCAGTGCTTAGAACAACAGTGTATTCCCATGAGGGAAAGGAACTGCATTATTTCTTCTTTGAAGCAGTCCCCTCAGCCAGTCCCTACTAGACAGGACCAGGACCACATAATTGCTCAGGTCACAATATGTTAAGAGTTCATTCCACTTACATTCAAATCAAAACTGCAGCCCCACTACTGCGATATTAAGCAATTTAGGAAACATCTTAATTTCCAGCCCTCATMTGTGAAGTGGAGATAATAAATAATAATTAGCTTTAAGGTAGTTACATGAAATAATACATGTAAAACATTTAACATAGTAATTAGCTTATAGTAGTACTCTAGTAAATATTAGCTACTGTTATTGCCATTGCCTAATAATCTGCTGAAAGGGRAAGAAATTCTACTTTTGCTTTTAAATTGCAATGAGCTTCAGCCAGGCACAGTGGTGCATTCTTATAATCCTACTGGCTCAGGAGGATGAGGCAGGAGGATCACAAGTTCAAAGCCAGCCTCAGCAGTTTAGTGAGACCCTGAGCAATTTAGACCCTATCTCTAAATAAAATATGAAAAGCGGCTAGGGATGTAAAATCTTCAGTGAGCTTCATTGAAGGCCAATAACTTTGAAACTTTTTATCATAACTCACAAATAAAGAAATACATTTTCTATCTATATGGGTACATATTCATTTTATATCACAATTCAAGTGATATTAAGCCACAATGCAAAACGCATATATACTAAAACAAGTTTCATGGAACAATGTTTATCTTTACCTCATGCAGTGCATATAGTATTTTCAATTATAATGTTTCACTTTAAAAAGAAAAATACCGATTTGACTTACTACAGTGATTTCACAGGCCACTAAGAGGGAATCCTGCAGTTTGAAAAAAACATTAGTCTAGACCCTTGATTGGTGTTAAATGCTCAGGTCATCTAAGAATCACTTGGAAAATATAAGTATCCCTTATCACCACCAATGCAGTATTGATTCCTGCGGTTAAATGACTTCCCTATGGGACTCCAGTTCTCAAAATCGTCTACTGGCCCCGTATCAATACAGGCCATTTTATCATTGCCGATTTTATGCTAAGTGAATAAGCACTTGGCAATTTTTAATTAATGACTCTTTAAGAACATGCTTAGTGTTTTCTGTTCAATACTCCTCTTTTCACTTTTTCAGTGCAAATAATTGAGTTGATATAGTAGAGACTGATAACAGTCCACAATATGTTGATTTGCAAAACAAAGTCATCAACTGCTTTGAGTGCCTATATGTTGGACTCTCAGCATGCATACATGAATAAACATGTTAGGTCCCTGCCTTTGCAAGAACACAATCTTGTAGAATAAAAGAATAAACAGATAATTATAATACAATGTGATCTGAGTTTAAACAGAACTGCTTACAACTACAGAAAGTCAGGAATGCCTTTCAGAGGAGTTAACCTTGTASCTGAATCTTAAGGGATAATATCAGTTAAAGAAATGGGAGAAATTATAGCAGTCAGAGAGACTAGCATAAGAAAGTATGATGTGCTGAGGGACTAGTATCTTGGAATCAGAAACTGCTCAGACTTGACTTCACTGTAATCATGTAGTGTCCCACATTCCAGTAGGAGCACTTTGGCAGAAAGAATAGAAGTCAGCCAGCATGTAGGAGGCCCTGTGCTTTTTCCATGCAGTCCTAGGCCCTTGTTCTGTCTGTCCTGTAGTCACTTCCTTTGTATCATTAGCTAGCACTTCTACAGTCYTTATCTTCTGACTTCCTTTGGTCACTAAAGCCATGTTCTGCTTTCAAAGGAGTGAGATAGAAATGAAAATCACTTTGAATAATATTTCTTTTATCATATTATTATGTCATATTTTATGCAATTTGCATTTTATACCTTAATAATGCTGCTATTAAAGCTAGTAACACTGAATAAATACAGAATAATTTCCCTTAATTGACTTGAGCTATTTCTTTGCTCAGTTGATGGTGACTGATCACCATTTTTGTTATTACCAGGTAAAGTTTGTGATCTTAACAAAACTTCATGGGGGAAAAAAACAATATTACTCAAATTACAAAAGTATTATCTCTACTACTGCTGATCATTTTGGTGCCAATAGGGATTTTAAGAGAAGTCATTACTTCAGTCACCACAAGCTGTCTTATTAGTAGTATTAGTCATTGTCACAGGATCATGAATTCTTGCTGCTTATAACTATATTTATTTATGGAAAATAAACATAATTTCTACATGAAAATAACAGAAGAAAGATAATGTGGCAATGTTTAATGCTTTGCTGCAAAAACATGATCTTAGTTAACCCAAATGGTTGCTAGAGCTTTCCTGGTATGATGACATTTCTCAAAGAATACATCACACAGCATTTGCCAATCAATCTCCTTCAAAACTAGGGCCAGTGTATCCCCTACGTTTACATACACATTTCAAATTCCTTAATTTTATTACATAAGCTTGTTTCTGACTGAATGACAATCTTCAAAAGCTTAATCCATTTGGTATAATTTTTTAGTGGCACTCTCTGCTGTGCTGTCCATTTCATTGCGCTTACAGCATTTATAAACAGGTGCTGAAATTTCATTTAACAGGCACTCAATTCATCTTTTTGGTGACTATGCAGCTTTTTTTTTTTTTGGTGACTATGCAGATTTTTAATTAAATCGTCTAATTTAATCATATTTACATTTTTCCCCATTTGTTAACTTAATCTTAAAAATTACATAGACTGTTCTTCCCTTACTCAACCTGCTGTCATGCTTGCTGCTGTATACATTTCATTTCTCCTCTGACTTTAATCTTACCAACCAGTGCATGGGTACAGAGATAATTGTTTACTCAGTCAGATTCCAAATCTTCAGCTAAGGGAAGAGTCCATAATCAAGGTACTGTATTATGTGTCCTAATGTGTCACGCTTTCAAGTCATCTTCATATGAAAGTATGTCACAAGTGACTTTTTCATGTTTGTCAAATTATATCCTTTATTCTCATTCACATTCTGAATTTGTGATTCCATTTACATAAAAACATACTTGTCATAATATGAAAGAAAAGCTTATAGATTATATATAAAGATACATTCATATTAAGGACTCCTGACCCCATAAATACTGATAGCAAAGCAGATGTGACATTATCATGGTGATTTCTAGTCACCTAGAAATACAGTTTGATTTGTCATTGAGAAAAGATTAAAGGTTCTCAAACAGTCTTTCCAGACCTGGAGAAGAAACCCCACTTTTAGAGATGTCCTCCACCTGTGACCTTGTCACTGGGATGAACTCAATGCGTGCTACAGGCATTTATGAGGGGCTCTGTTGTTTTGAAGGTTTGGCAGTTCTTGTCAGAATGGAGGATTAGCCTGTGTGTTTGGATATTCAGTGTTTATGGTTTCTCGTATATAGAGAGAACCTTGATTTTTCTAATTAATATAAGGTCAATTTTTATTATGAAACTCTTCTAGCTATTTAATTTGGCCTTTCTCTTAGAAGACATCTACTTCCTAAGATTCAATGAAATGCATATTATTGAATGTACAACATTATTTTTCATACACTGAAAAACCTACAGTATAATCTATACTTATTTAAAGTTACATTATTTAGACTTGATATACAAATGTGAGTTCTAAATCCAGCCTTTAATTTTAGATTTAGTAAGTTTCTAGTTTACATATTAACCTAGATTTCTTGTTAAGTAAACAGACAGTAGAATGTTCCTCCTCTCTTTTATGAGCCCTGAGATGTTGAGTTCCTCAGTGTTCTCCCTTCTAGGCTTCATTATTGCCTCCTGTCTGCATTTTGTTTCCAGTGTCAGTGCACTTTTTCTACTTGTGATTTTAATGTTATTTATAAATACTGAATTTATATCAGCATATAAAAATAGGATGTGACTACTTAAGCCCTTCTGAGTCTAAAATAAATGTTATTTTGAATAATGCTAATTGTGCAAAAATAAATGCCAAATGACCATTGTGATTCATGAATAACTCACTATTACCTCTAAAACTGTGGCTCTGAAGCATGCATCTTTACTCAATGGCATTCCCACATTAGATTATCTCATTCAATTCTTTTGACTTTTGTAAAGGTGTATGGGCAAGTCTTCGCTCCAGCACTCGTTTGATCAGCTCTCCAACATCCTTCATTGATGTTGGGGCCCGGCTGGCAGGCAAGGATCATTCAGCCTCCTTCAGTAACAGCACCTACCTACAAAACCAGCTATTGAAACGCCAAGCAGCCCTTTATATATTTGGTGAAAAGTCACAACTAAGGGTAAAATTTTTTTTTCTCACTTAGAAAATTTATGGATATACTAAGGCAGTTTTTAAAACCTGTCACAAGCCAACATTTTTGGAAAAAATTTTATAGTATGATTTCTAATCTGTAGTTAATAATCTCAAAAAATAATTCTCTCTTTATGTTTATATGTTTATATATATATATATATATATATATACACACACACACACACATATCTATACATTTGTATGTATATAGATATATATGTGCTTATTTATTGGCCATGAAAATAAATATGTATTCATAATATCTAAAAAATCAACCTATATATCAGGAAATATTAGGAAGCATTCATTCAAAAAAGAAATAAGGCTTATTCAGGCTATATTTTCCATTATCTTGAGTCAGTTTCCACAGGAATCAGTGTCTGTGGCAAAACAGATGTTTTATTATTATAAACCTATCAATTCAGAAAACTACAGAAAGGCAGCGAGAATGGGCTGGGGTTGTGGCTCAGAGGTAGAGCGCTTGCCTAGTATGTGTAAGGCCCTGGATTTGATCATCAGAACCACATAAAAAAATATAATAAAATACATTGTGTCCACCTATAACTAAAAAATAAATTAAAAAAAAAAAAAAAGAGACGGGTAGAAGGAGGAAGACTATTCCACTGCACATGAAGACAAGGGAAGGCCAAGGCTAGGTTTTCTAAGTAATTTTTTCAAACTTTTTGAGGTCATATTTATAGAAACACAAATCTTAAGATATGTCAGAAAATTCAAAATATTAGGTGCTAATTGGTTTCATTCTTTTGGAAGGGATGAGCACTTGGGATTGAACCCAGGGCCTCACGAGTGATAAGAAGCACTCTGCCACTGGCTATATGTCGMAGACCCATATTCTTACTATTTTTCTGCTAAAGAGTTTCACTATGCTGCAATCTCAAAGTAAAGRTAGTCTACCTCTAAAAGCAATAGGAATTCTTCAAGTTTAATGTWTCCAAGGGTTCATTAGAAAATAAATTTTATCTCTATTGACAAGTGTATAGGAAATGAAAGTATTTGTTTCAGAAATCCCCTCAAAGTTTAGCATTGGACCTACTCAGACTTTTGGCTGAACCATAGATCAGAGACTGAGCAAGATGCTCTCAACAGGATCCCACATGCTCAGGTGTAAAGATGCCAGTGACTGCGTCATCTCTTCTGTAGCATGCTGGCATTGCTAGCTCTTTTTCCACTACCTGGACTGCTGCAATCACTTAGTCACTGACCTTTAGGGTAGAGGGCATAAAACTGCTGGGTAATGCTCAATTTTTAAATCTGCATAAATGTTTTCTAACTCAACAGATAATTTTATATCAAGAAAATGGTTGGAATTTTCATCAGCAATCCAAGGTTCCCTACACAGCTTCCTTGGCACCAGTGTCCTTTCCAGAGTACAGGTTTCCACCCTTCAGCACATTTAACATTTTCCAAACTTTGACTTCTGAATGCTCTCCTTCTCTATTCCCTGTCTACACTAGTTCTCAAATTAGCTGTGTGATCATGCATATTTGAGTAAGAAAGATGGACTCTTGGGAACCTTTCTTTCTTCCTTCCCTCCTTTTACTTGCTTCCTTCCTTTCTGTCATCAATAAAGTACTATAATTTTTAAAAAATCCAGCCAGATTTATTGGCACACTCCTGTAATCCCAGGGATTCAGGAGGCTGAGGGAGGAAGATTGCAAGTTCAAGGCCAGCCTCAGCAAATTAGCAACTGTCTAAGCAACTTTAGCAAGATCCTGTCTCAAAACAAAAAGGGCTAGGGATGTAGCTCAGTGGTAGAGAATTCCTGGGTTCAATCCCCAGTACCAAAAAAATTAATTGGTTAATTAATTTAAAAAATAAAAGTACCAGGGATGTGGCCCAGAGATAGAATGTTCCAGGGTTCAATCCCCAATATGACAAAAATAAAAAATAACCAAATTCCACCATCATGGCACAAGAGTTGCTAAAAAGGGCTGGGATAGAATTCAGTGGTAGAGCCACCCTGGTTTTTGTTTGTTTGTTTTTTCCTTTTTGGTGGGGTCCCAGGAATTGAACTCAGGGGCACTTAACCACTGAATCATATCCCCRACCCAATTTTGTATTTTATTTAGAAACAGCATCTTGCTTTTTCTGAGGCTGCCCTCAGAAAAAGTTCAACTTGCAATCCTCCTGCTTCAGCCTCTCAAGCCACTGAGATTACAGGCGTGCACCACTGTACCCGGCAAACTTTTTTTTCTTGATGCATATTAGAAATGCTGTTTCCTGGGCTGAGATTATAAGCTCAGTGGTAGAGCACTTACCTAACACATCTGAGGCACTGGGTTCAATCCTCAACATGACATAAATATAAACAAATAAAATAAGGTATTATTTCTGTCTACAGCTATATATATATATATATATATATATATATATATATATATATATATATATATGAAATAGCATATATATAAATATGCTATTTCCTAATATCATGATAATATTTTCCTTTAAAATTTTAAAAAATAATTGAAAGAGCCCATATATGTTGCTAGGTTCTTTATCTTAAGCCTTAACATCATGTTTCCATGTTGTATAATACTTTTTGTTTCTGTTTTTGTTTTTTCCAATTCTGGAATTGAACCCAGGGGCTTGTGCATGCAGACAAGTGTTCTATCACTAAGCTACATTCATACTTCTTTCTTTTTTCTTTTTTTTTTTTTTTTTAGTTATAGATGAACAAATACCTTTATTTTGTTTATTTATTTTTATGTGGTGCTGAGGATCAAATCCAGGGCCCTGTACATGCTAGGCAAGTGCTCTACCACTGAGCCACAATCTCAGTCCCTCATAGCTCTTTTTCATAATTATTTCAGTCCCTACTTAACATCCAATATTTTTTGATATATAGRTTTCTTTCTTTATCCTCTGTATTCAAAATTGGTCACATTTTCTAGCATATAGATGTGTTTTGTTATTTTTTATTGATATATAATTTAGTAGGGTTTTTTCTGTATATTTTGATTTTTCTTTAGAGTTCCTAAAAACAGAGTTATTAAGACAAAGAAGCCGGGTGTGGTGTTGCTTGTCTATAGTCCTAGCAACTCAGGAGTCTGATTCAGGAGCATCACAAATTCAAGGCTAGCCTGGGCAACTTAGTGAAACCCTATCTCAGAATAAAAAATAAATAAAATGGGCTGGGATGGAGTTCAATGGTAGAGCCTCTCTGGGTTCTTGGTTCAATCCCCAGTACTAGAGCCAGTGGGGGAGACAGACTTTTTTTTTTTTTTGATGCATATTAGAAATCCTATTTCCTAATATCATAATAATATTTTCCTTTAAAATTTTGGGGATTCTTGTTTCCTTTCAAAATTTTAATAGGCCTTAAAAAAACTAGTCAATATAAAACATTGTTCCTTGGCTGTGGGGTTTTATTAATTGTAAAATATATATAAAAAATTTACTATCCTAATCATTTTTAAGTGTACAATTTGGCATTTAGTATATTCACATTGTTGTACAACCAGTCTCCAGTAGCAGTTCTACTTCTTTTTAAAAAGAAGTGACCCCTTGAGGCTGGGGATGTGGCTCAAGCGGTAGTGTGCTCGCCTGGCATGCATGCGGCCCGGGTTCGATCCTCAGCACCACATACAAACAAAGATGTTGTGTCCGCCAATAACTAAAAAATAAATATTAAAAAAAAGAAGTGACCCAATTAAATAATTTGAGCACAATGTAAAGAAAATGGAAAGAATCTGAGAAAATTAATTCATTCTTTGGCATGAGAAGTTAGAGGGTTTGGGGAGGGGGTGAGGGCAAGGTACCAGGAATTGAACCCAGCAGCACTTAACCACTAAGCCACATTCCCAGCCCTTTTTATGTTTTACTTTGAGACTGGCTCTTGCTAAGTTGCTTAGGGTCTCATAAATTGCCAAAGCTGGCTTTGAACTCAGATCCTCCTGCCTCAGCTTTCTAAATGGCTGAGATTACAGGCATGTATCACTGAACTTGGCAAGTTAGAGAACTTTTAAATTTTCTTTAGAACTCAGCAACTAGACTATCAAAATGAAATACGCSAATGGGTCAGCGTAGCATTCTTTAATTACAAATGCAACGTTCATACTTCACCCAGAATAAATTCCATGTGGATTAAAGATAAAAATGAAAAAGGACTCAAACATAGGTGATACCTGTTTCATATTGAGTTATGAAAAAAATAGTATCCCAAAGCTAAAAACCAACAATGTTTATTGTTTTATTTTCATGTTTTATTGCATATACTTTCTTAGTTGTTACTTTTTTAAAGTAATCATAATGTTAGAAGATTCAGTGCAATGAGATAGTGATTTTTATTTTTCATAAGGTTTATTTCTACTTTTTTCATTTTCATAATGAATACATTTTACATGCATAATAAATTAATACCTGGATGTCTACATAATTTAATTTGTACAGTTAGGGAACCCCACAGTACAATACCTTTCCATCACAATGTGCATTCGGGAAAGCCAAATTTATACTGTTGGATTAGCCATGCTGTCCATGTGTCATTAGCTCTCCAGGTTCATGACCTCAGAATTGGTTATATTGGTGTTATCAGCTGCATCAAATTCCTAACAGTAGTCTCTTCAAATTTCTAGAGTGACAGCATCCCTAAGCTAAATAGTCTTCCTCTAGAAAGGACTAGATTTGCCATTCCAGAAGAACCACTAGACCTTTCACTCTGCTGACATATTAGCCACACAAGTTTGACCTTCTTGACCCCTTGCAACCTCTATAACTGTTCAGCCTCAACTAACTTTCATCAGCATTACCCTGTTGAAAACTTTGATCTTTTACTTATAGTAATTCATCTGCCTAATTCTCTGTCTCTTTATCCACAGAGCTTCAAGGTAGAATTTGCTTTAAATTGTGAGTTTGTTCCTGTTGAATTTCATGAAATCCGACAAGTGAAAGCCAGTTTTAAAAAGCTAATGAGAGCTTGTATCCCAAGCACCATTCCTACTGACTCAGAAGTAACCTTCCTGAAGGCTCTGGGTGACTCTGAGTGGTTCCCTCAGGTGGGTAGCTTGACTTATAACTCAAAAAGAGGCTGAGTAGATGTGCCAAACCAATATTTGAAAAAAAAATATTTCTTTCCTCACCCCACTCCTTATTCTACCCCTTTGTTGTGAGCTATCTGAAAAGGCCTTTCAATTTCTGGAAATAGTATGAAATAGAAGGTGAGGAATAGAATTCCTTGATCACAGGTTTTTATCTCTGTGTAATTACAAGTGTGGTATCTGTAAGATGCTAAGGAGGAGAAAATTATTTTATGTGGGAAATTTTTTTTTTCATTTTTTTAGAGAGAGAGAGAATTTTTAATATTTATTTTTTAGTTTTAGATGGACACAACATCTTTATTTTTATGTGGTGCTGAGGATCAAACCCAGCGCCCTGCGCATGCCAGGCAAGCACACTATGGCTTGAGCCACATCCCCAGCCCCATGTGGGAAATTTTTATGTAGAATAAATTTAATCAGCATATATTTACAGGGCTCTTGCTCTGTTGTCAAGACAGTGAGGATCCAGATCAGAAGGCAATTTCTGAATAACTCCAAGAGCTTTTTCCTCTTGCTTTTTCACCTTCCATTTATCTTTGCCTACTACATGTCTCTAGATTTTAGATTCACCCCCACACCAGCCACATAAGACACATTGGATGCCCTACACTTCAAAGTCATACTTATATATCCATTATTCAGCCAAGTCAACCATTGAATATTTTTAATTGTACCTTTATTGAAAAATTAAGAGGAAATTGATATGACAGCACAATACACCCACATTTCTTCCAAACCACACAAAGAAAGATATTTATGACATGCATATTTTAGACATGGATACAGACATTTGGCAAAAAGCAATATAACCTTCAGCTTTGTCTTTAGGCCCTGATGCTATGTCCATTATCCCTTCTCATCCTGAAGGAATTTTCAGATTTTTTGTTTCCTGYCCCCATTTACCTACAAGGATCTTGCCTCTCTTGAGAAGGAAAAAAAAAGTTGTTTTCCATAGTACTTTGGACTATGAAAAGCAAAGAAGCCAAGAAACAATGTTGGTACTAAAGGCAGGTACTTTGAATRTAGAGAGACAGTGACATATGCAATTGGTTGTAAATACATATCAGGGTATGTTATGTTCATTTCCCTTAAAGCAATTCGGTATATGTACCCTGGCTATCCAAGGAAGAAGCTGGACCAATGCTTTCTTCYGTCTCTACTATGAGTCCCAGCCCCAAACCGTCCCTTCCACTCAACTACCTACTCTACTTCTTGCTGGAAAGTAGATCTGTACTAGAAATTAGAGACTAAAGACAGTGGAAGATATTGCCCCATTCAGGATAGTGACATTTAAAAAGTTAACTGTTGCAGCAAACACTAGGTTCAAGAGAATTCAGGTTTAGTGCTAACTATGTTGTAGGAACAGCAAGTAAGGAGCCTCCCACTGCTGGGTAGGACACATGTCTTGCTCCTGTGCTTAAAAACAGCCTCACTGTATAAAATATAGGTTATTTTAGAACAGTTGGATTCATACTGCAAATTAGGTCATATTATGCTTAAAATGTTTTTAAAACTACAGTCTTATTCATTTGGTTTTCATAGCTATGTGCTGTGCTCATACCCTAATTAATTGTTTCTGAAGGACTTAAAACACTGAGTACAAGTTTCTTTCTCATGTATGTATAATTCACTTACTATAAAATTTGGGTTTTTTAGGGGCTGAGGTTGTGGCTCATATAGCACATGTGGGGCCCTGGGTTCGATTCTCAGCAACACATAAAAATAAATAAATAGGGCTGGAATTATGGCTTAGCCATAGAGCACTTGCCTAGCACGGGCGGGACCTGGGTTTGATCCTCAGCACCACATAAAAATAAAGGCATTGTGTTGTGTCCATCTACACCAATAAATAAATAAATGTTTAAAAAATAAATAAATAAATAAAATAAAGGTATTGATTGTGTCCAACTACTTCTAAAAAATAAATGTTAAAAAAAATTTYCTCCTTTTAAACTGTACAAAGCAGTACTTTTTTTTAATTCCAAGAGCATCTGAAATAGAACTTACTATATCATGGAAAAACAAATTTTTCAGTTGGGTAACTATTGAGAAGGCCACTTAGAATCTGTCTTGTTGACTTTATGGAATTATGGTTTTTCTACTTTTGGAGGAATTATATAAGGCCATTTTCTTTCTTTCTTTTTTTTTTTTTTTAGTATTTATTTTTTGGGAGGTGTTGTTGGACACAATACCTTTATTTTATTTACTTATTTTTATGTGGTGCTGAGTATCGAACCCAGGGCCTCACACATGCTAGACGAGCGCTCTACCACTGAACTACGACCCTAGCACAAAGCCATTTTCTTATGTATCGTCTAAATACCCTATTTTAAAATGTGTCTACCTTTAAAATGTGTCAATGTTTAATCTTGATTTAACAAGAACTTTAAGTATTTAAAACATTATATGAGCCAAGCACAGTGGAACACACCTGTAATCCCAGCAACTTGGAAGGCTGAGGCAGGAGGATCCAAGTTCAAGGCCAGCTTTAGCAATTTAGCAAGGCCCTAAGCAACTTAGTGAGACACTGTCTCAAAATAAAAAATTAAAAAAAAGAGCTGGGGATGGGGCTCAGTGGTTAAGTGCCACTAGGTTCAATCTCAGGTATGAAAAAAAAAAATTATGTGTTTTTTTTGTTTGTTTGTTTGTCCAATCCTTCATGCCTAATTTGTATTTTTATCAAGTCTCTCTGTCTTCTGTGCCCAGAAAGGCTTGGTCTAATTTCGGCCTCCTGTCTTATCTCTTAGCTTCACAGAATAATGCAGCTGGCTGTGGTAGTATCAGAAGTACTCGAGAATGGTTCCTCAGTTTTGGTCTGTTTGGAAGAAGGCTGGGACATCACTGCCCAAGTAACTATTACACATATTCTCAGATATTGTGTTTTATATTTGTATTTGAATTTTCAGACAAATATTTTGTATAATGACTTATGTTTTTATGTACAGAAAAGGTTCCATGTTAAACACCATCTTGTATCCGTCAGGAAGCTCTGTGCCATGAGCTGTCAACTCCTCCATTACCTGGAGCTCTGGCTTAGGGCATCAGGCTCCTATATTCACAGATGCACCCTGCAAACTTGCTCTTGACCAGCAATATGGGACATGGACCATCCTTCCTGGATTTTGTCCATCCTTTTTCTGGTTCTCCTTAAGCCCCTCCCTTACTCCAGAATGAAAATTATGAATATAAACCACATGAAGATTAACCTGTGCCTGCCCAAAAGAAAAGGTTTTAACTAACCCCCTGACCTCATTAATTAATCTAGAAAATGACCACAATCTGCAAATTGGCAAATTCAGAATTAAAATCTTAATTCCTTGAAAGAAAACATGTAGCCAAAATAAATTTGTGTTTTCTTTTTACTGGAAAGCTTGTGGAATTCATTTGATTTACCATCCTGGAGCAGTTAGTGAATAAATTTGCTCTACAGGTAACTTTGTTTATGAATTAGCTATTTAAAAAGGAAATGCTTTATCTTAGCACTTCAGAACTGAAATTAATGAAATATCCATCCTGTTTGTGCCCTAGGTGACATCCCTTGTGCAGTTACTCAGTGATCCCTTTTATAGGACACTTGAAGGCTTTCGGATGCTGGTTGAAAAAGAGTGGCTCTCTTTTGGTCATAAATTCAGTCAGCGGAGCAGCTTGACCCCCAGCAGTCAGGGTAGTGGTTTTGCTCCAGTCTTTTTACAATTCTTAGACTGTGTACATCAGGTAAGTAGAGCCAATTTAAATTGACTTAATATRAAGGAAAGAAAAATACTAGCATTTTTTAGCTTTGTAGTGCTGTGCCAGGTACTTTACTGTCAAAACTCAACCCTAGGATATACTGAAGTCTTGGGTGGTGGAGAGACAGTGGAGTACTAGGAATCGAATCCAGAGGCACTTTACTACTGAGTTACATCTCCAGCCCTTTTTTCATTTTTAGACAGGGTCTCAGTTGCTTAGGATCTCACTAACTTGCSGAGGCTGACCTCAAACTTGCAATCCTCCTTCCTCAGCCTCCTGAGTTGCTAGTATTACAGGTGTGKGCCACTGTGCCCAGCCTGAAATCTTCTTAAAAATAAAGAAGAAAAAGAAGCAGTTGATTCTGAAAGTAGGTCTGCTGAACTAGCTGTTGAGCTGGCCCCCAAATGAAGTAGTCAGCACTCTTAAATTACATCTCCAAAGAAGGGGAAAAAAACTTGGGATCATTTGGTAGAGTTTTGAATAGAGTAGTTATAGCAAAAATTTCTAGGTCGTGACTTTCCTGAAATCCAGCCTCTATGCCCAGTTTCAAAGGGCCCTACCATGTGCCTGGGAACATCAGAGATAGAGGCTAATCTCTCAAGAAATCATGAAGGCCCAGCCAGGCAGGCTTCTAGAGTTTGAGAATACTGACTCAGTTCTACAGGGCAACCTCATTGGGACTAATCAAGAGAACAGAGAAAAACCCAGATACATGTAATCCAGTGAAACTCAGTGAGGGTAGGGAGAGGTAAGCACTGTAGGTGCYCTCCTGTCTTCATCCCAGGCCCGTCAATAACAGACACCTGTTTGTGGGGCTTGCTCAGGATTGAGCTCAAGAACTAGATGGCACTGGATTTTCAAACAGAAAGCTAAATTTGCTTAGGAAAAAAACAGAGTTGACATTTCCAGTCTTTTTTCCATCTTCACCACAACCCCATKGGTAGATTAATAGATTTGGACATGACTTTTTGAAATACATTGGCCTCAAGTATCTGTTAGAAGGAAAGGTAAAAGTGTTCTCACAAACCAGAAATGGAACTAATCTCTTGACATATGGTTATGTTTTTGGTTGTTTTTATTCTATTAATAATTTGATTTTTAAATTAACAGTTTTATTGAACTTTAATTTATAATTATACAGTTTATCTATTTGAAATGTACAGTTCAGTATTTTTTAGCATATTTGTAGAATTGTGCCGCAATTACCACAGTTTTGGAATACCCATTAACAGTTGATTTTCCATCTCTGCTCACCCCCCCCATGTATACACACACACATACACAACACTCTCAGAGAAAGTCATGTTTTTGCTTGCTCCAATTTGCTTGTTAAAGAAATAAAAAATTTTAAAGAAAAAAGAAAGAAGCAGTGTTAGAAAAGTGCCTTTAGCACTTTGAAAATGGGCAGCGTCCAGGGGTAAGAAGGAATGGGCAACATTCAGCTTCCAGTTTATTCTTTCTCTAACCCTCTCTGTGATTAATATAACTTCACCTTTGGAAATACATTTTATGAAAATAATAAATATATGGAGGGGCAATGCATTGTTTATATTTAGAAGGAGGGAGGGAAAAAAAGAAGAAAGAGAGGGAAAGAAAGAAGGATCCATCTAAAAGCCTACCTATCTTTAAGAGACCTTTCAGTAACTGTTGTAATTCTACAGAACATATTATTGTGATTCCATTAAAATGGTTTTGACAAGAGTGCAACAATATGGAAAACGCTTATTGTATGACTCAGGAGGAAAATCCAGAATACTAGAACATTATAACCAAACAACTTTGGGAAAAGCAGAAAAGTATAAAGACAAAAGGAACACAAAAATTAATAATCCAATCGCTCAGGGAACTACTATTAATATGAATGTTTTCTTCCAGTCATTTATTGGATCATGTATATACATATATACACAAACATGTATTTTAGTAAAATTTTAAAAAAAGAGAGAGGGAGAGAGAGAAAAGACCTGTTAAATAATTTTAATCCATCTTCCCAAGCAGCATCTGGGGACATTGATAACACAGTTGAATTTATACTTCTAAACTCTTTGCAGCTAATGGTATCTTTGTTTTTTGTTTGAATATTATTAGCCTTTTTCATATTCCTTTGGCAAATAGATGAGGGAGAAATTTGGAGACCACTCAGTATTCTTAGAACCTTTCCCTCATCTCCCTCATTTATATTCCTGATGAGTCTTATACAGACTTCTTTGGTAGCATCTATAAGACTAAAAAATAATGTATTTATTTGTATACATGTCTTGTCTTCTACTTAGACTGAGAAGTCTTGTGTACAGGGACTTTGTCATATTAGTTTTCACACCTCTAGTATCTTACACAGCATAATTTCAGTCTCTGGAATATAACAAACAGTAAATAGGTATTATCAGTATATTAATGCAATTTTACAAGTTCTCTTCATGTTTTCAACACCCTTGATCAAGACCATTTAGAATATCCTAAGTCAGATTGTTAATGTAATCTTCTGAAAGCTCAGGTACTATTATTCCCCAGGGCAAAAATCTTCAGGGCAAACAAAAACCTTCAATGGGTTCGCATTTCCTAAAGGATCATCCTTCCTCATATCCAGTTTAAATATAATAATGAAGTCAATACCTCATCAAGATTTCCCTTGAAATTCTTCAGAAGGTTTTTTATTTGAGGCTTAGATTCTGAATAAGTACACACAATCCATTTTTACCCTTGCCTTGAGATCATATCATTTATAAATCAGTTGAACACTAGATGAAACCATCAACTTTCTTTTAGGATCTTTGCCTTAATAAGCTGTTTATAATTAAAGAGAATGTAGGAACAGAAACCGAAYGAGGAAACATGAGAGTCACATCTCCCATAAATCTGACTCGGAGGCATAAATACATTGAGAAGAATAGCAGGTAGAAGTATCCATGTAGACTTTTTATTTTAATAAGAATCAGACGGGGTGAGGTGGGCCTGGGGTTGTGGCAAGCTTGCCTAGCATGTGTGAGACACTGGGTTAGATTCTCAGCAACACATACAAATAAATAAAAATAAATAAAGGTCCATCAACCACTAAAAAATATTTTTTAAAAAAAGAATTAGACTAAATCTATTTTGGCTTTTGTGTGTGTGTGAGTGCATATGTGTGTGCATATGTGTGGTGCTGGGGATTGAACTCAGGGCTTGTGCATTCGAGGCAAGCACTCTTACCAACTGAGCTATAACCCCAGCCCCAAAAGCTCAGTTTTTATAAATAAAYGTTTCATAAGCAATATTGGATTTCAGTTCCAATTGTACTGAATTAAATATTTTTATAATCAAAATTAATTTTTTAAAAATTTGCCTGAACCCTCCTTTGACTTGGTACCTCATACATACTAACTTGGGTGCAGACAAGTCATGACAAAAGGAGTATGTGATCTTAATTGCAGTATTTTAAGGATGCCTGGCTGCAATAGTTATCAGCTTTGGTTAGGCAAATTATTTTGTGCTGAAGAGGGATTGTTTATTCATTTGAAAACAGAGGAACCTAAGAAGTCTATGCTTAACAAATAGTGCAGACTTAATTATAAGGTAGTATTTCATCATTGCTTACATACTGGTCTCAGGCATTAGAAAATGCCTTCTTTGAATACTTTTCAAGTGAACACTAGTGCTTTACATGATTCTGGCTTCTGCCAGATAATTCACGTTAGTGCTGTCCTCAGTCTCTCAGGGACACAAAAAATGGAGCCAAGTCCAACAATATTAAAAAATAATAAGTTCAGAATTACACTGCAGCAAGCGAAACTGTCCTTGGGTAGAATGTGTTCCCAGCTTGTTAACCATTTCTAACATGCTGAATGCCAAAAGGCAATCCATGGACATGTGCCTAGACTTGTTCATTAGTACTAATAAAGTTACAAAGAAAACACTGATCTTAAATTAGAACTGCCTCATCATATAAAAAGCCATTGTTTATGCCAATATATCCAGGTGTCAGATGAATTTTAAATGCTACATCAGTATTTCATAATAGCAACATCTGGCAGATTTTTTTGTTGCTTCTAAAATAAATTGGCTTAGCTCAAAAGATATCATTACAGGATGCTTCCTTTCTTAAAACAGTTTGGCCAAATCTTTCAAAAGGAAAATACATCCAGAATATAAAAAATGAAGTTTTTACCTAAAATTTCTTTTTAAAATACAATATCAAAGGGGAAAATGTGTATAAAATAAATGGAAACATGAAGTGAATAAGCAATAATCTCTTTATTTCAACATTCAAGTATATCTTTGAGAGCATCCTAGAACTTTTGGTGTTTCCTACAAAACAACAGTTTTTGACTTGCCTACAAAGTTTATTCAGTTTGTAAATTGGCTCCCTCTAGCCTGGCTTGGTGATGTGATTTCTGTATGCCAGCACTGTACAAGATCCTACTCCAAAGACAAAAGCTATTTGCCTTTTGAGCATGGAAGTCTTCCTTATGCGCTCATGTTTGAGCAGCTAAGCTGCTCCACAGAGATTGTTGCTCTAAAATTTATCCATTTATACTGGCCAAGTAGCTGCAGCCGATGGATATACAATATATTCAAGTGTTCCTGGCATTTGCCTGATTCCCATTCAACTGAAAACTGGCACTATTTTCGTAATCCAAGTTGTTTTATAATAAAGAAACTTTGTGCCCAATTAATGTTAAATCCTTTTTTTCAATTATATTCTTTATTTTTTACTTCTTTGAATATCTGACTGAGCTATATTGGGGTATCTAGATTTGCCATCTTATATTTTAAAGATACAAGAAAGCAAAAGCAAAGTTAAAATTTCTTTCTGAATTTCACATATATTTTTAATAATCAGATACATTTTAAATTAGGTAAACATTTCTGCTACAATTAGAGGCAAAATATAGATTTTGGTATTCAAATGTAATTACGATTGAGTCTAGAGATTGTTAATATAAATCTTACCAAAAGAATTACATTATGCCAATTTACACTGTAGGAATTCTGAGGCACCTACATAT